ACCCTCTCTCAGAATTCTGGCTTCTCTCTGGGCCAAGATCAAGACCTTGTCTGGGGACCCATATTTATTTAGTTATTAGAAGAAGAGAGGGGGGTATTCAAGGAAGATGAACTGCTCAAGGACTTCTCCAAATAAGGCATGAAGATCATCTGTCCAGGAGTGCGGTGCCTGAGGCTCCAGTCCTTATCTAGTTGTGCTTGGATCCAGTCATCCTTGATTTTAGGATTTCCAGTTTCATCCATCATTACAGGCCTCAGTAGGGATCAGTGACTCACAGAGGATCACTTACTACGAGTCTGCAACCCATTGCCAGGCAAGGATCAAGGCCTTGAACAGATCCACAAGTAAACATGAGAAGCCAACTGGAAGGGCTGGCCAGATAGCTCAGCAGACTAAAGTGCTTGCTTAGGCAGGCTCAGGGACCAGGAAGCCATCCCCAGCATGCTACGCCTACTCCACCTCCAGGACTCACTAAGCCTGGGGCTAGGTCTGGGCGTGGTGGTGTGTGCCTGTAATCCCAGCATTTGGGATTCTGAAAACAAGAGAATGACTACAAGTTTGATCTGTGCAGTGAGACCCTATAGACCCTGTATTAAATACATTAAAAAATAAAAGATAAATTAAAGAAAAGAAAAGCCAGTTGGTTCGTGTAAGTCCTGCTAATGGCTGTGTCACAGCGGTCTCCATCATAGGGATACCACAGATCGTTTTCCGAAAAGGCAGGGCCTCAATTCAAAGGGCTACATGAACGCAGGAACTAGCCACATACACAGGCAAAATGCTGGAATGATAAGGAATTGAGAAGTCAAATTGTGAGGCATTACTTTGAAACTTTTTGACTCTTGGGTTTCCGGGGACTAGGCTGTCATTAAAAGTAGGAGTGTAAAAAATACAGAAAGAAAGAAAGAAAGAAAGAAAGAAAGAAAGGAAAGGAAAGGAAAGAAAGGAAACAAAGAAAAGAAAAGAAAAAATAATCAAAGAAAAAAGAAAGAAAGAAAGAAAGAAAGAAAGAAAGAAAGAAAGAAAGAAAGAAAGAGGGCTGGTCAAATAGCTCAGTGGATTAAAGTGCCTGCTTAGGCAGACACAGTAGCTGGGATTTGATCCCTGCATGTGGTGGCGGCCCTGCCCCGGGGCTCCCTGAGATAGTGATTGAGACTGGGTGTGGTGGTGCACACCTGTAATCCCAGCTCTTTGGGAGGCTGAACACAGGCAGATCACTATGGGTCTGGTCTGTGTAGCATCCCCAGCATAGTGAGACCCTGTAGGCCCTTACTAAAAAATACAAATAAATAAAAATAATAGGAGTGTAAACTGTAAAGATTGCCTCAGAAGATAGTTCAGTTTGGGGCCTGACAATCAACAGCAAGTCTTTCCAGGAGTCCCGGGGAGAGATGCTTAGAAAATTAAGAAGGAAAGCAGCAGAGACAAGGAAATGAGGGGAGAGTGTCAGCAGGAGTATCAAATTTGGAATCTGCTGGACCCCAAGACACTATGTGTGTAGTCTGAAAAGAAGGAAGGAATGTCAGATGACAGCAGATTTCTACCAAAGGCAAGGAGTGGTCAGAGTTTCAGGACCCAGGTAAACATTAAGAGAGGAGAATCGGGTGGTGGATGTGTGTAAAGTAACACTGCCACTACTGGGGTCTGTGGAACAGCTGTGTGGAGCTATTTAGAAAGACAAATGGATGAGTCTTAAAAGAGAAAAGCAGCTTGCTAAGGAATGCCAACTTGGGGAAAGACACTAATGAACCTTTAAAGTAAATTCTTATACATCTTACAGATAGAAACACTCCCCTACTACAAGGGTGTAATTTAAAGTTCAAGCAGTATAAACCCTGAAGTACACTCTTAACATTTAACAGATGCTAAAATGAGTCAAATGGAAGTTGTTATAGGGTAGCAAGGTGTTCCTGTCCAATTATTAAAGTCTGTGTGCTTGCGTGTGTGTGTGTGTATGTGTGTGTATGCAAGTATCTGTACATACACTCGTACGTGTTTGTATCGTGATGTACAGTTTGTGTAGTTACACACATACGAATATAAAGATTAACAATATATTAGAAGCACACATCCATATTTGTCTGCTGGGACTGGCACAACCAAATACGACAGACTGGATGGTTTAAGCAACCAAAAATTCTTTTCTCACAGCTCTAGAAGCACAAACTCCAAGATCCAGATGCATGAAGTTCGGGGGAAAACCCTTTCCGGTTTTCTCACAGGGAAGCTGGTGTCTCCCTCTTGTAAGGATATCGCTTCTGCTGCATTAGCCCCGCTCTGTGCCCTCTGCCTCTTACCAGACTATTTCCAAATAGTCACACTGAGGATTAGGATTCCAAGATACAAACTTTAGGATGTGTGTGTGTGTGTGTGTGTGTGTGTGTGTGTGTGTGTGTAGGGTGCATTTCAGTTCAAATCAACATCAATGCATTTGATATCCAAGCTGACTTTTTCACTGACAAAGCACAGCCTGTTGCAATGAGCAATTGTATGTCATGAGAAGATGAAGGTCGGGCTGGGCTTTGCTCATTCATTCTTTTCTAATGATTTTATTGGAATATGACTAGATTCCTACAAATATACATATTGGAGAAAGTCACTCGCAAAGGCCACTTGCAAAGCAATATACTTTTGATCAATTACATGTCTTTTTTTTTTTGTGGAAATCAGGAGACAAGCGCCAGAAAAGGTATCTCTCAAGAAGGCCTTGCCACGAGTGTGTAAATTAAATCGGAGTTAATTTAGAACACTGAGTCGCTCGCTTGGCATGTGAGCACGTTAACTTTCTTTGAATTACTGCTATTTTTAACATAGGCGCTACCTC